CAAGAAGGTAATAAACAATTTGTTCAACGTGAATCAATCTATGGTCAAGCATATAATACTAAAAAATTTCTTCAAGAAAATACTTTATTACCTAATGCACGTACAGATGCAACTCGTTTAATGAGTACAACATATAATACTAATCTTGAACGAGTACGAGGTTTAAATAGTTATCCAATAAAAACTACTCAAAATCAATCAGTTAATTATAATCAAGAAAAAATTAATGATTTTCTTATTAGTCCAGTTCTTCGTCCATCACACAATGACGAAGTATATACAACGAAATATATTAATGAACATACAGATGGTTATTCACGTCGATCAACTGTTCGTGTTTATGATTCACCATTTAAAAATGAACAAAATACAACAATGAATGAATTATGTCAACCACAAATAATTCATTCACAAACAAATTCTTTAGAGCCATTTCTTTCAATTCCTGGTCAAATTCCACGTTCAGTTAAAACAAATTTACGTTTACCTGGTCCAGAAGTTGTTGCTCGATTTATCGAACCAAAAGTTGATACACATACAACATATCAGCGTTCATTTAAAGATATATCTTATCATGAAACAATGCCTCAAACACAACGTTCAACGAAAAATAATAATCAAAATTTAACTCGTACATTGGATAATTGTTTTAACGAATGTAAATTACTCGATCTTCAAGATCAATGGTCAAAAACTCAAGCACAACAACAATATCATATTGAACATCCAGAAAGTGTACCTGATGTTGGTAATTGTACAATTCGAGCTAAAAAAGAAATACTTGTAGCTGATACAATTGCTAAACGAGGAATGATGACAGTTAGATGAAATCTTTTCTTTTTTAATTTTTAATGAACTCGAACTTTCTTTGAATAAACTGAAATGCTAAACAACAGTTCAGCGTCGTCAATCATCGATCGTCACTCATACATGGGGAGGGTTTGAACTTAAAAATGAACAAAACCAAAGTCTACACCATTGAAAAAACGAACGATCGATAGTATTTGAAATGGAGATATTTCTATTCTTGAGCAGCATTAAATGATCTGGCTACACGAAATCTTTCTTAGAATGAACTTTGTGTAAAAAAATGTCAGTGAAATATATCGTCACACAAGATTCGATTATCAGAAAAAAAACTCTTCAATTAGTTATTGATCGATCGGATATGAAGTACGCTTTCAATATACGAAATTCGTACAAATGTTAGATGTCTACGAACCAAGAGAATGCATTCAAAAACTATCTCTACTTTTTGATGAAATTCCGTAACGAAATTTGATTATTGTGTATATTTCTTGCTTGTGCTGCTAATTTTTGCAACAAAAATTATGTCTTCCGTTAGAATTCTAAATTCCGCGGTAAGTTTTTTGCACTGATTTTGTTTATAGGTATATGTATATATATCTGAAATGAACATCGGATTCTGAACAAAGTGAAGTATTTAGTTAATCAAACTTGAACTATTATTTTTCTCGTGTCAAAAACTTTTTTTGTTGAATTCTAATGAAAAATACACCATTTGCTAACGAATCTGATGTTGGTGACAAATATGTAGTTGTTTTGACTTGTTCGCTTTCATCTTAAGCCGAACTACGATGTTTGAGAAAAGAATGAAATTCCGTAATAAATACTATTTTTAGTTTGTTATTCGACGTAATTACGTATGTCTATGTCGCTTTGTTTTGAAATAAAATGCTAAACTTTCATTTCGAAATTCCATAACGGCCGGTATTTTCTGAGAAGCTCAGTTCAAGCTAAAGAAAAATTAATGAAGTTTATACTGATACAGGTTACAGAAAATACAATATCGTTACATTTGGTCACGTCGTATTGTCAAAGAAAAATGTTAAAGGATAATATTGAGAAAATTCTTGTTATTGTTATTGTTTTAAAGTGAAATGTGCTGTTTTAGTATGAATAATTGGTAGAACTCTTGTATGATTTCTTCTTGATATAGATTTTATTAATTCTATAAATTCTTTTCGAAATAATTTTGATGTTAAACAATGAATATAAAAATTCATCTAAATAAAAAATTTTTATATTTAAATATGTATCGAGCAAAAAAAAAACAATCTTACTGCATAATTAAAACTCCAAAAAAATGTTAAACCTGCTGATATACTCATAACTAATCCATATTCTTCAACTTTCATAGTTAGTACTTGTTTTGGAAATACAATATGATAGATTGCTATTGGAAGAGTTGTTGTTAAAAATATAATAATACTTGAAAGCATTAATAAAAATAATTCTTTTTGAAAACGTCTATTACGATTTATTGTTTGATTTTGAAATATGATTTGTTGACTAAGAGCTCGCTTTCGTAAACGTATATTAATAAACATATCAAGAAGAATAAGTAACATAAGTAAAACAGGAATAAGACAATTAATAAATATCTATCAATACAACAAACAATTTTTGTTCAAAAGAAAACTATTCAGAAAAAATATTCTTACTTGTACAATTGTCCATATATAATAATAGAAGTTTATATAGACTTTTTGTTTTATATTAGGACCACAAGCTATAATTGCCACACCAGGTAATAACATTCCAAATAATGATGTTAACATAGGTGAATGAATGATTGCATCAAAAAATATTAAGATTACAACAAGTATCAATGCTTTCTTTGGTATGCAAAGTGTGATTGATTTATGTGAAAATCGTGTACGAATCCAACGGTCAATTGAAATGATAACAAGTATCCATGCTGAACAAATTTGAGTCATAGAAATAACAAATATACGATAACGACATAATATATCATAATTAATATGCGTATAGAGAGGCACCTATTGGTCAGAAAAACTAAAAACCTATATGTACTGATCTAACAAAATAAATGTTATACCTGTAAACCAAAATCAATGAAATCAAAAATAGATGCCGACAAAAATAGTGTATCGGAGATGGCTAAGACAATAAAAAGAGTACCAGTTGAAACACATCTTAATGTAGGTCGGATGAAAGTCAAGAGACTAGCAATATTACCAGTAAAACCAAAAATGAATATAATCAAATAGCCCCATAAATAAAAATAAGCAACAATAGGTGGACTACGTATAAGATAGTAGTCTATAGCACGGCTTTGCTCGATCAAAGAAGATATGTTGACCATATTAGTCATTTTAGCTTTCTTACAAAGTAAATGAAAACTTCGCAGTAGTGTAAAATAGATAATTATTTATCAAATTTTCTCTACTATGAAGAAGAAAAATATTTCATTTCTTTTTTTTCATTAATTGTGTCTGTAGGGTTCCTTCAAAATATGTCTAAAAATAAAAAAAAGCATCATCAGTTATGATATCAACGTCACCTCAGAAATATGAGTGCATTTTTAGTATATTTATAGGCGAAATAATTATATTGAATAATTATGACAAATACTGATGAAAGTCTTTTTGTCTTTGGGAGGAGGGGGGGGGGGGCGGGGTGAGATTCATTTTGAACAGAATAAAATTCATCGGTTCCGTACTTTTTTTTCTTAATTCAAATAGAAACATTTTCAGTTCAATATCAAGCATCAATAGTTTTAAATTCGACTAGAATTCTTTCTGCAATATTTTCACATGGTCGAGTATGGCTTGTTGAACTGTACAAGAATATGTATAATGAAAACATTTCGTACCTTTTCGTTGAAATAAAACTGGTAAAAACTATCTAAATTAAAAAAGAAGGGTGGCTCATTTCTCCAAACATAATAGTGTGCTCAAATTTTTAAATAAAAAACCTTTTTAAACAGGTTTATTGTGCTCTAGAAGTCGGAAAAACTGATTTTTCAGAGTGCGTATCCAAAATGTCATATGGAGGCGAGAATTTGAGACTGTTCGAATATAATCTAGTAAAAAGGGTATTGAATCAAAGGAACGATCCACTCAAAAAAAAACAACGAATTGAAAACCTTCCAAAAGTTTCAAGTCTCTCTAACTTCGATATTTTTTCATTTTACTCTTTGTAAAGGCAAGAAAAACATAATATGTCAATGTTTGAATAACACTTTACTGCAGTTGAGAAAGCCTATTTCCTTGGAGCGCTAGTAAAATACCATAGAAATTAGATCGTATTTTCAGTTTTTCATTGTTGAAATTTGATTTTCATGAAAAATAAACATCATATTCGGAATCAACACCCAAAGAAACATGAAATACAAGACATGTAATAAAAAGTTCAGCGAAATAAGAGAAAAAGGCTTTAAGAGGTTTCATTACACATATTTATGTAGAGTTCAACAATGCGATTCAACCATGTGAAAATATCGAAGAAAATTCTTCTGCTCGAATTTTGAATTATTGGCCTTTTACATTGACAAACATTTTATTCGCAATAATCTTTCTTCATAGAAGTTCACGAAAACCTTTCTTACAAATGAACTTTCATTGGTGAATGTATTTCAAGGTCAACTTTTCTTTCTCTTATCAATCCTGTTGATGATAATTATTCCTGTCAACATTTGATATATTTCGATTAAAAAAACCATATCTGTTGATGATTAATTATAAGTATCTGTTGTCAGAAGTTATCGCAACAGTGATATAGAAAAACAAAAGAACAATTATGAATAGCAGGTTTATGCGACGACTTGCAAGACTGAAGTTATTGTATATTCTGTTACATTATTTGCAAAATGTGTAATTTTCAAAGATCTGTTTATTGAAAACATAAAGCAGTATTTGTGTATGTCATATTAAAAACTAATCGTATACATTATTTCCATTCGAAGTATTATTGTGCCAAATGCAGAATAATATTTTTCCAGAGCATAGTGTTATGATCTGAAATAGCATGAAAAATAAATTTTCTATTAAAAATAAACTTGTCACCCAAGAAATTGATTATAATTATATTTATGGCGACAATAAAACATGAATACGATAGAAGATTTGTTCTAATTTAGAGAAATTATAGTCATACAGAACGCTGAGTTGAGTAAAAATAATCCATAAAGCAGTCCCACGAGTTTGGTTTTTCATGTAAATATAGATATGTTACTACTGTCTCTCATCTATTCTCTTATATTTTCTTAATATTTCAATCAAAAGCTTATGTGAAATAGCTTCCAATATAATTCCATTATGTCCACTCATGTTTTCCGCTGCTATCATAGCATTTACAATAGCTTCTTCAACACATTGAATCGTTGCTTCAAATAAAAGAGTCATTTGATTATTGAGCAGAAATTCTATAGTTCCCGTTGTCGAGCTTGGATTGGAAACATTAGCTGTTGAAAATGCTAAGAAAATATCACCAGATAAATCAGCACCTATACCACCTACTTTTCCTATTCCAAGTGACACTCTAGTTGCTAAACGTTTTAATTGATGTGGTAAAAGTGGCGTATTCGTAGCCACAATAACAATAATCGATCCAGCATCTTCATCTGGAATACTTGTATTGTTTTTTTCGATTTTCAATAGTTCTTCACCAACAGGAACACCAGTAATAATTAATTGTTTCTTGCGTCCAAAATTGGATTGCACTAACACTCCAATCGTATAATTTAAACCGTCAATTTTTCTTGAACTTGTTCCTGTTCCAGCTTTAAAACCAAACGAAATCATACCTGTTCCACCTCCTACATTTCCTTCTTGAATCAATGAGTCAGATCCTTTAGCATTATCCAATGCTTCAAATACATGTTCTTCTTTTACATGAAATCCATTAATATCATTTAAATATCCATCATATGTTTCAGCTACAATAGGTAAACTAAAATCAAGCATATTGACCATTGTATTTGAATTATTCTTTTGTAAAGCCCATTTTATTAGAGAATCTCGACAAATACCAACACTATTTGTATTTGTAATTAAAATTGGTGCTGTAAGAAAACCAGACTCTGTTAAATAATGCATACCAGTCATTTCACCATCTCCGTTTAAACTAAACCAATTTGCAAAACAAGGCATTCGACGGAAAACATTTTTAAGTCCGCGTGGAAATATTGCTGTTACACCTGTTCGAATTGAATCACCTTCAATTATGGTACTAAAACCAACTTCAACACCTTCGACATCAGCTATGGAATTATATTTACCAGTGATACCACTAAATAAAATACCAAGATCTCGACCACGAGATTTCTTATAGCATTTTACATAAGAAACTCTATACAAAATACAGAATAATACGAGAAATTGTGCTATGCGCATAGTTTTACTTTTTCTATTTTGACTATTCGTTTGCCATCAATTGTGTATCCATAGATGCCTTAGCATTTGAATGACTCAATTACAAACTTTATTTTGCGGCTTATAGATTGATATTCTTATTAACAACAAAAATAAAACGAAAGAGTACGTGGGTATATAAATCAATTGAAAATAGATCAACATATCTCTTGAAAAACGGCAACTTCAATCTGCTAATCTAAACTTTTGCTTTTCAACAATCGACTTTTTGTTGAAGTTATTGAAATTATAATAAATATGCTTGATAAAATACTAATAAAAGAAATACAGCCCTCAATTCGTCGACATGTTTTATGTTAATTATTCAAATATAAAGACTCATTAGGGCTATGCATACCAAGTTCCGCACAAAGGAAATTGAAAATTGACAAAAAGAGTAGAAAATGGTAGGAATTATGTGAAATAAATTAGAAAATGTACAAAAGTAAAATAAAAATGTGAGAATTAAATGGGACAATGCTAAAAAGATAATAAAAGTAGTAGAAGAACAAAAGCATCTATATGTAGAGACTCGTTCGTTTTAGTCTTATTATCGCAATCTAACGTTTTCTATTTCGACAAGTACGTAATGGCAACATTGAATATTCGATAAAAGTAATCTTGGGTAGATTTCGTTTTAAATCAGGCGTCAAACTTAAAAATAAATTTTCATTTTCATTTCCATCAAGAGAACATAACATGTACTTGTTTTTATTAAGTAGATAAAATATTCATTATCAATGATTCATATTCTAACATATGTACGAATGACTTCTGTGTCAAAATTAGAAAGATGTTTTAGAGGCCGATAGAAGAAAAAAATCAACGTTTCACCACTGAATCACTTCATTTGGAATGGGTAAAAAGTGCGATCGATGTACGAGAAATTAGTCTGGTAAACATAATGTACACGAAGCCATTTAAAAACTTGGATGAAGCGTCGACAATTATATGTACAGCGTTCGAACTACAAGATGCAAGTGGTATGAATTTGATAAGTTATTTTATGAAAGAAGCACGCAGGAAAAATGATGCATCGATTTTGATACAAGCGTATACAGCTGAGACGGATTTCTATCGTCGCCTTAACCATCTTCTGGCTCAATTACCTTTTCGAAAATATACCACAGAAGATAGAAATCGATGGTACGTGCAGTATGTGGCTACCATCGACACCAGTTCACAATTTGCGAAGTTCGGATGGAAAGGTATCACCTATCGTGGAATGATGGTTACTGAAGAGGATCTTAATGAATACAAAATTGGCGATTGGATTGTCAATAAAGCGTTTCTCTCAACATCGAAAGACCGGGCTGAAACTGAAAAATTTATTTGTGTACCGAAACCGAACAAAATCCCTTTGATAACAAAATATTTGGTCACGCGTGATCGCAGTGCATTAGATATTTCTTCGATATCGGAATTCAAAGATGAGCAAGAAGTGCTCATTTTGCCTAATGCCGTTTTTAAAGTAGCGACCATCATGAGAGACAAACGACCAATTGAAATCGAACTGAGTGACAAATAGGTTCTGCTCATGATTGATTCTTGACTCATCACAGACGTTCGCCTTAAAGCATGAATAGTGAAACTGTTTTCTTTTTCATCCACGACGAAGACCAGATGTAAAATAGTTGCATGTGAATATCTTGAGTGAAATTACTAAGAATGAAGCACACTAAGGTACTCTCATTCGTTTTTCTTCGACTGATTATAATGTTCAATTTGATTTTTCTCTTGAGCCCGACGGGACAGGCTTCTTGCCAGGCTAATCCGGCCCGATGCTGTAACTCTTTTTTTTACTGTCTACCAAACTTGATTCTTGTTTTAAGTAACATAAATTATTTTAAAAAGTTTTCTGATAGAAAAGCCATGCGAGTTTTGAGTACGATTAATGTAATAAATCATCATCAAGAGTAGGAATTGACAGTTAAAATATCTTATGCTGTAATATTTCGTCATAAATACATATGTGTGTCATATTAGACACAAGCAACGATCTTGTCTTTGATTCTTAAAATTTCGTTTGTATACTTTGAATATCGTATAATCAAAATTTCAGTTCAGTGTGACGTAATGGGTTTTCTTAACTATTATTATTTTTCTTGTTGATGAGTTGTCATATGTTTGANTAAATGGAAGAAGATTTATAACATCATTATTCCCCTAATAATGTTCATCAAATTTCAAATAGCGTCTTCTTCTTCTTTCTCTTCTTTTTGTTTTCTATTTACAACTACAATGCATAAACTTAGATAGATACATGATTATGTTCACTAAGTGTCAAAGAAAGAAGGAGTAATGAAAACAATCACACAAACACCAAGGTACATACTAAGAATGTATGTGGTTAAACAAATAAATAAATAGGAAACATAAGAGACAGAAATATACTGAAAGACAGATGAAGAGATCCGATCCCTCCTTCTATTTATCTATTATTGAAATTGAATAAACCCATGAGTTGCTTGTTGATAGGCTGTATTCATATGATTAAATACAGTTGAATCAACAATAGGTGAATTTTGTTGTTGATTATAATTTGATATTTGATGAACATTATTAGGGGAATAATGATGTTATAAATCTTCTTCCATTTATTTTACCAAATCAAAGAAATGTCTTCACACACACGTACAACAACTAACCTACATAACGAGCCAAAAAGAAAAGAAAAAACGTGCATATATATATGATCATACGCATCGAGAGTTTTAACGAAAGAAAAGAGATGATGATATATGATCGAAGATACCACATCGGAAAAAAAGATATCATCTAGGGACAAAGAGAGAAGAAAGAAAAAGAAAAACATATTGTGAGGGCAATGCCCGTAACAAACATGTTGTGAAGAATTTGAATGTTGATTTTCTGATTCCCCAAGATGACGTACAGCTTGAATTTTATCAGCTAAACATTGCTGACTATTAATTGAAGGGCGATCATATTGATTTTCTTGCTGTGGTTGTTGTTGCTGTTGTTGAGATGATTGAGTTGTCATGGATGGCATCATTGTATTCATAGATGATAAATATTGATTATGATTATTCATCATATTATTTTGTTGTTGAAAAGAAAGCATCGATAGAAGGCGAAGAACATTCTTAACAATAAAAGAAAACAAAAAAAAAATTTTAAATGTTGCTAGACTTCTCGTAATTGATTTCATTTAAAACTATTTTACTCTAAAAAGAATACTCCGACCTTAAAGTTAAGGAATCTTAGAACGGAACAACCATGAATTTATCCTAGCCGAGAGTATATTGTCAGTCAGAGGACAATTAAGAAAGAAAAAGAATTGGTTAGGCTTCAAAACAAAGCGAACCGATCTGATCTCTGAACCACGGGTATACACTCCGGTAGAATGTCTGTCATTGGACATCCGATGGGTGAGGTGTGGATATTGGCCTTCTCTACTTGCACGACTTAATGCAAATATTGCCACGTCTAATTCCAACTTATATGTAGTGATTAATGAATTAAAGAAAGATTATGCGTAAACCGGACCAACACCTTGAAATCATACATGTACTGAATAATTTTCTTGGTTGTTATTCTTACGTGGAGACCTGTACGGAGTCAAGTAAATTTTTTTCGAATTGTTGATTTTTGTTTTATAATATTCACTGTGTGAATTGATGCATTATGGAGGTTCTGACAACGTTTTACAAAAAGTATTCTAACATAAAATAGAGTCAAAGTCAAATTCAATGCCGCTCCGGCTTTTCTGCATGCTCATATTAGTGTCCTACAACCGGGTCGGGTATCTGGAAATATATAAGATCTCAACGTTTCAAAACAATTTTACTTTTTCAAACTGCTACATATATATAAAAGTATACGACTTGTTTATAGAAGAAACTAAATAATACTTTTTCATATAAATTAAAGGTTTTGAAAGTTGTACTATGACTATGAAAATGTCTGCCAGATGTCGATAAGGCCGGGTACGGTTGCAAAAAATTATGCCCATGCAAGACATTAGTTCATAGACTTTGATAAAACATTGTTAGAATTGCCAAAATGCAAAAAAAAATTTAGTTGACTCCGTGTAGATCTCTTTTTCTAAGACATATTTCTACCTGTTCAAATTGTTGTGGTTGTTGTTGCATAGGAAACATCTGTTGCTGTTGTTGTTGTTGTTGTCTAGCCCAATTTTGTTGTTGTTGATGCATAAGCATAGCTGCTGTCATTTGTTGTTGTTGTTCTTCCATGATACGTTGAGAATCATTATTTGAAAATAAATTTGTTTGTTGTTGTGGCATTGAAAATGTTCGATTAAAAAACGTTTGTTGTTGATTTGGTGTACCAAACCAACTATGATGTGTTGGAATTTGTGTTTATCTTGTTGGTTGTTGAATTGGTAAACGTTGATCAACAAATGAAAAATCATTTGATGTTGTTATTGGTGATGTTGATGATAAACCATATTCGTAAGCAGTACGTGCATCATCAGTAAGGCTTTGCTCCATCATTCGATAAAATGATGTTGGTGAATGTCGATCATTATACATATGTATATGATCAGGAACTGATTTTGTATGATTAAATGTTGATTTAAATGCTAAAAATAAGAGAAGAATTTATGGAGAAAATTTTCTTTTTTTATATTATTTTAGGTTACTATTATTAATTAATACTGGCATTATAGATGGATTCGATGATTGATGTTGTAATTTAGATTTTTCTAAACGTGCTTTCATTTGCAGACTTTCAGTAATTGATAATGGATTTTGATATCGACGTTCAATATGAAAATATTTGCATTTTGAACCATATGTACATTTTTTACCATAAGGACATAATGGATAATGTGTTTCACAATCATTTCCATCATCACCACTTACAATTGTTACTAATAATGGTTGAAAACTAAATAAAGAACAAAAGGAATCAAATATATATCTTTTGTAAGAATTCAATATCTTACTTATCATTTTGAAAACGATATCGAATAACTTTTTCTTCAATAATATGCTTATAAATTGTAAAATCAAGTGAGCATATCCATCGGAAACATACCACATTTACATCAAAGTTCGGCACCAGCGGTGCGACCTAGTGTATCTTGTAGAGAATTTTTTCTGAATAAAACGTACAGACTGAAAAATTGAGGACTGAAGTGCGACATGAGATGAAGGCAAAATACTTTTACGTTGATATTGGTGTCATCTATCATTTTTTCCTGATAAAAATGACTTTTTTGACGCTGCCTTAAATGAACTATTCCTGCTTAGGTTCTATCTATATCGGCATCAACCTAAAGCTAATAGTTAACCGCTTCATTCATGACAAGATCAGCTTTGATATACGTGCCTGTGTTGAGAAAATCAATTTCGAACGAAGGCTATTTTTCTCTTATTTAATTGATTTTTTTAATCATGAGGGTAATATCATTGAAGTAATGTGTATAGAAATTGTTTTTCTCATCAAATAGATCGTTTTAAAACAGGAAAATTAATATTAATCAGATGCTTGTGCAATATTGCAAGAGGGCATATTAAAGTTGTCTATTTTCACTAATGCAGATGTTAGGACAATAAACATAGTGAAGATATCAGATGAACTTTAATATGTCATTTTGCAATATCACATAGAACATCTGAATACTTTTTCTCTTTTAAAACTATCTATACACTCCGAAAAAACTATTTCTATACATATTATTTCAGAAATATTACTGTCCATGATTACTAAAAAATCAAATAAATAAGAGAAAAATAGCCTTCGTTCGAAATTGATTTTCTCAACACAGGCATGTATAGTAGAGCTGATTTTATCACCAATAAAGCGGTCAACTATAAGCTTCAAGTTGATACCGATATAGATAGAACCTAAGCAGGAATAGTTCATTTAAGGCAGCATCAAAAAAGTCATTTTTATCAGAAATAAATGATAGATGACACCACTATCAACGTAGACGTATTTTGCCTTTGGCTCAAGTCGCACATCAGTCCCCAATTTTTCAGTCCGTAAGTTTTAATCAGAAAAAAATTCTCTAGAAGATACACTATGTCCTGCCGCTGGCGCCGAACTTCGATGTAAATGTGCTATGTTTCCGATGGATATGCTCACCGGATAAATCAGCACCTATACCACCTACTTTTCCTATTCCAAGTGACACTCTAGCTGCTAAACGTTTTAATTGATGTGGTAACAGTGGCGTATTCGTAGCCACAATAACAATAATCAATCCAGCATCTTCATCTGGAATACTTGTATTGTTTTTTTTCGATTTTCAATAATTCTTCACCAACAGGAACGCCAGTAATAATTAATTGTTTCTTGCGTCCAAAATTGGATTGCACTAACACTCCAATCGTATAATTTAAACCGTCAATTTTTCTTGAACTAGCTTCTGTTCCAGCTTTAAAACCAAACGAAATCATACCTGTTCCACCTCCTACATTTCCTTCTTGAATCAATGAGTCAGATCCTTTAGCATTATCCAATGCTTCAAATACATGTTCTTCTTTTACATGAAATCCATTAATATCATTTAAATATCCATCATATGTTTCAGCTACAATAGGTAAACTAAAATCAAGCATATTGACCATTGTATTTGAATTATTCTTTTGTAAAGCCCATTTTATTAGAGAATCTCGACAAATACCAACACTATTTGTATTTGTAATTAAAATTGGTGCTGTAAGAAAACCAGACTCTGTTAAATAATGCATACCAGTCATTTCACCATCTCCATTTAAACTAAACCAATTCGCAAAACAAGGCATTCGATGAAAAACTTTTTTAAGTCCGCGTGGAAATATTGCTGTTACACCTGTTCGAATTGAATCACCTTCAATTATGGTACTAAAACCAACTTCAACACCTTCGACATCAACTATGGAATTAGATTTACCAGTGATACCACTAAATGGAACACTTTAATTAAGAAAGTCTGTGCAAAATACAGAATAATACGAGAAATTGTGCTATGCGCATAGTTTTACTTTTTCTATTTTGACTATTTGTTTGCCATCAATTGTCTATCCATAGATGCCTTAGTATTATTAAGAACAAAAACAAAACGAAAGAGTATGTGGATGTATAAATCAATTGAAAATAGATCAACATATCTCTTGAAAAACGGCAACTTCAATCTGCTAATCTAAACTTTTGCTTTTCAATAATCGACTTTTTGATGAAGTTATTGAAATTATAAGAAATATGCTTAATAAAATACTAATAAAAGAAATACAGCCCTCAATTCGTCGACATGTTTTATGTTAATTATTCAAATATAAACACTCATTAGGGCTATGCATACCAAGTTCCGCGCAAAGGAAATTGAAAATTGACAAAAAGAGTAGAAAATGGTAGGAATTAAGTGAAATAAATTAGAAAATGTACAAAAGTAAAATAAAAATGTGAGAATTAAATGGGACAATGCTAAAAGGATAATAAAAGTAGAAGAAGAACAAAAGCATCTATATGCAGAGGCTCGTTCGTTTTAGTCTTATTATCGCAATCTAAAGTTTTCTATTCGACAAGTACGTAATGGCAACATTGAATTTTCGATAAAAGTAATCTTGGGTAGATTTCGTTTTAAATCAGGCGTCAAACTTAAAAATAAATTTTCATTTTCATCAAGAGAACATAACATGTACTTGTTTTTATTAAGTAAATAAAATATTCATTATCAATGATTCATATTCTAACATATGTACGAATGACTTCTGTGTCAAAATCACAAAATAATATTCGAAGGTCTTTTTATCAATAATAAAATCAACATATTTATATTTGAGCATCCAATTTCGAGAGATGACATTCATTATTTAACCACAGAAAATACATAAGCTAAAAAGTGCTTCATTGTTTTTGGTCGGAATTCACTAAGACAAGTTAGACTTCAATAAAATTGAAACATAATTGAATATAAATATATAGCATTAGTTCTTTATGCTCTTCCTTTTCGACTTATTTTATTTTCAAATCTTTAAAAATATGTTTAGTTTTGTCTAGATATCAGTGTTGCCAGCATTTAATGTTCAGAAAGTAGAATATGATTTCGAAAAGACAGATAGTGGCAGAAATCCTACTCTGAAAAACCAGAACACTTGTACTTTTAGCATCAAGGTTTTTCTATGAACATTTCCTTGACGTCATCATAATAAGAAAGTTTCATACATATTAGCAACAACAATTACATCATGTTTCACATTTTCATCCCATAGAAATTGTGCTAACAGCTTCTTTTTACTCTTTTCAATTGCTTAATTAATGAAGAGAACAATTCTCTTAACTTGACGTTCATAAATTCCGATGTATAAATAATTATTCATTTATTTTACTAACATGTAATCCTGAAAATAATTTTATCTTTAATTGAAAGATATCGCAAATTGTACTAAGGATGACGTTGATGGAAGCTAGTGTTTGAAGATCAGAGTTTTTCAAATGCAAACAATGAATTAGTAATATAGTCTCTAAAAACATTACGAGAACAAGAATAAGCAATTCTTTTACGGAAACGGAAACGGAATAAACAGAAAATTATATCGTGAATACGGGAGTGGTGAAAACAATTTTTACGGGAACAAAATTTTTATACCGGAAATAGGAATGTAAAGCAAGAAAAGTTGTTTCCACGGAACTCTACTGATTGTCTACTATTTATTATCAATAGATGGTATGGGTATTGAAAAATGTTTCTTGCACTACACTCTTTTTGTATTGATTATTGATCAGTCTAAAGCAATCCGTTGGAAAATCTAGTATAAGATTGATGAATTTTCACGAAATATCATAAGGCTCTGATTGGTGGTGACGATACATTCTAAAAACTAGTTTAGTCATGATGAGTGCAGCGAACGCTTTAGATTAGTCCTGAGTGACACTGAATACGTTTCAGGTTAGTCAAGTTACTTGTCGTCGGTCAGTTTTTAATTGTCCAGGAAATTGAAGAACGCTTTTTTTCTATCTAGAGTATTCAAACTAACATTTGTCGGTTAGTAAGCCATAGTTTGATATCACGACGACCATCTAGTGCTGAATAGAGTCAGATAAGGTGTTCGAATCCATATTTTGTCAGCTTTTTTTCATTCTTTTTTTGTTTTACGGACTCATCTGAACGGGTTAGATAGATAAATGAACTAGACGCAAATGGATTGAATAACGTTCTAGACTAGTTTAGGCGTGATTGTCTGACATTTCTTGTCAAAATAGCTACTCATGACGTGTATGAAAGACGCTTAAGATTAGGCCTGACGGATATTGCGAACACTTCGGACTAGGCATGTCACTCGTCATCCCTCAGTTTTTTTTTGTGCTTGTTCAGAATCCAATAGTTTAGGACAATCAAAACAGATGAACAGAACTTTTCGATGGTCCCAGTTCGATTAGGTACTTTTCTTCTGTTTTCTTGGATTCAGATATCAACTATGACTTGATTTGCATCCCATGAATATAATGATATTGAATAGCATTTTACGCATATATTTTCGTCAATTAAAGAATCTGTCAAACCAAGTTTAAAGAGTATAGTAACTGACCATAACAATTATCGAACATAATTGTAATGATTAAATTTCAATTTCTAGCTTCATGTTGTATTATTATTATTTGTCGAAATATGAGGAAAAAAAGCCTCAACTTTTTTTTATCTAGTGGTCAGTCATGATATCATGTGAAAAATCAGGGTTTATTAAAAAGTGGTTGCGAAAGTACTTACGTCATCGATTGAATATAATTAATTTCATTTGCAATGTATAATGGAAAAATTTTTTAAAATTCTGCAACCAACGAAAAATGGAGTGTGCCTTCGAGTTATGTAATGAACGTTTTGTCCACTGAAATAATCACAAAAATTAAATTATTGTCTTTAGAAAAAAAGATTTTATCACAGTGATATTAGAACATGAAGTCTAGTCGTTAAAAAAATTGCTGATTGTTGTGATAGTCATTTAAATCGTTTTAAAATTAATTTATAAAGCTGTGAAATCGACAAAATAATGTGTGTAAAACGATTGCTGTTCAGGAGAGATCGAACCGGTCTACCAGCAGACTGGCCAGTCTGAAATTCGTACCAGTATCGATTCCATCTCTATTTAAGGTATGTTGTCAATTTCCAACAACATTTCAATATACATTCTCTATGAGATATCATTGAAACGTATAGAAATTTTGAATAAATATAAATAATAAAAGAAGAAAAAAACAAGATAGACCAGCAACCGGTATCAATTTCATCTCTGCCTTACGGAATAGAATTCTAGTATCATAAAGGTAATATGACAAGTATAGATAAGAGTAAAAACGAAAATTAATATTGCGGTAAAACTTTTCATTACGAGCAGACAACATATTGTTCTCAGTCAACAAAAAAGAATGGGAAAACAATATTAATGAATGTTTATTTGGAAATTTCCCTAAGATTTTCAAAGAATTCAACTAGTCAAATCTAAGAATATTGACAAGTATTAAAACAATTCTATCAAAAAAAAGCAGAAGAGATTACAGAACTGATTGTAGCATGATTAAGAAATGTTGAAGAACGACTTAATACATACGTCAATAGTGCACAACGTACTGATGAATCGACACAAAATAAGGCCTAATTTTTAGAAAATGTGGAGCTATATTGTTATTTATACTGTACGATTTCATTTATTGATATTTATGAACAATGGTTAAATAGTAAATGACATTGTAGTATAATACTCTTAATAAAACTATTTCGTCAATTCTTTTTACCAATGTGATCGTACGTCAATACCTTGTTCTTTTATATTTCTACGCATTCATACAACAACACAAAACTGTGTCAGCACTACAGGATTGTTTGTTCACTTTCATTGACGACGCACAACAGCTTACATCCTTCGAAAAGCACTCATATTTAACTAATAGCAAAACTGAATGAAAAAAGTCCTTCAGTTACTTCTACTCTCTAGAAGAATTGTTTTCAACATTGACACTGAGAATTATAGGCAACAGAATGCATCGTAGAAATAAGTTGGGTTATTTTTTTTGCTTTTAATGTAAGAAGTATATTTGAAAGTACGATTAAAACGGAATGAAAAAAAAGAATCAGAATTTTTTCTTTGATTGATGAGTATTGATTTCATCATTTTTTACATTTTCATATTTTTATGAAGCTATTTTCTTCTCTTCTTCTGAATAATAGTTTCTTCTGTGGCTGATTTTTCAAACTTTTTCTTGATGTATCAGAACTTTGTCTGTCTGCAGTGTACATACAAGGGAACTAGAAGCCCATTTGTTTACAATCAGATGAATTACTTATATCAATATCTATTCCATTGAACGACTATTGCAAAATTCATTTATGTCGAACCAATTTTTCTAGTTAGATAAGCATACAAATACCCACAGATGTTAACCTTATGAGCATGTTCTATTCCTCATACTTCGTTTTTAATTTCACATAGATATTTACTACACATTAACTCATTGGAATTTCTTATAATATTAATACAAGAACGAAATGCCTACAAACATCGGTCTTCTTGCTACAGATCATGACAATAAATACTACGATATTACCCATACGTTCCAGATCGATTCATTTACTTATCATGTGCTAGGACTTCGCAAGGATCGTCCAACATATGGAAGCACTTATTATATTTTTAGTTGTCCGGATTGTACAGAGGAACGATATGGAATTGCTCGAGCTACACCAAGATCTTTACCTGTTCTCCGTACTTCTGGAAACTTTGAACATCGACTTACAAGTGAGCATCGTACAATACTGAAGCATCACAGTTCATCAACAAATCAGGTTCACATAACCACATCCCGCACAGATCGTCCTCATACAAGTTCAGCAACACGAAAAAAAGTCGAAAATGGGACGATATCTATCGAACAGTCAATAGCTAAACTGTTGCAAACTGAACATCAAACATTAGTCACATCGCTGCGCAAAGCAATCAAAGCAGATAATGAAGCACTAATTCGATCAATTAAAAACTCATCAAAGAAAGTTGAAGATGAAAAACAATCTGCCGAACAGAAATTGAATGAAACTCTTAAAAACGAACGTCAGTCAATGTTAGATTCGTTTCGTCAAGAGTTGGAGGCAAAAAATACAACACTAATTCAATCAATCAAAACAGAAGAGCAAGTTTTAATACAAGAATCAGCCAAATCCATGATTAGTAAAGAAGAAATAGTTCTTTTGTTTGAAGAGCAAAAACGTTCACTTGAAAGCATATACGAGAAGCAAAACAGAACTATTGATTCTTCTGATGATCGTTTCATACAAAATGTGACAGAGGTAACAAACACTCAACAGGTATTATCGACAGCACTCAATCACTTTCAAATTACATTGATTCAAACAGTTGAGAAAGAAATGCAACAGACTATATCGAAAATTGTTGAAAAATTTGAATCAATGACTCTTGAAATAACACAATTAAAACAGAGTCTTGAACAAACGACCGAGAAACGGTCTAGTACCACCATAAAAAGAAATGACTCTGACCTATTAAATCATTTATTCGTTGAACAGAAAAAGTTTCTCATAGATACAATTGAACAGCAACAGAAACTTTGGAGTGAACGTTTACAACTTATCGTGCGTTCGGCACTGTTTGAACAAAAGTCATCATCAGTCGTCACTAACACTGGTAACACCTCCTCCTCCTCCTCCTCCACTGTTAAAGTCAAAACACAACAGGAACAAACAACTGATCATTTGCTCCACATCAATCAAACCTCATCAAATTCAGCAGATCAACATTTGTTCAAATTGTCGATTAAATCACCCGAGCCTGTTAGTGTATTTGCTAAATTATTTATTGCCGGTATTGAATATCCAAGAAAATCTCATACACTCTGTCAGCAAGATCCATCTCACTCCGATGAGGTCACTTGTTATATTGCCCCACCTGCTGTAGATGGGCCCTACAATGTGATTGTCTATGCTAAGACCAGAACGGAAACGGCATATCGAGCCGCCATCTCCATGCGAATACCGGGACCAAATATAACTCAATCTGTTTTTTTTCCATACACATTTCCATCATTTGAAATGCATCAATGCATTCTAATTCAACCTTTACAAAGTTTTTTGCGACATAATGAACATGTATTGATACAAATGGTCATACCTGATGCACATGCGGTCAAAATATATAACGGTAATGACGCTGTTGTACTTGACGACGATGACTTCACTAATGGAAAATTGAAAAAGCAATTACAAGTTTGCGGCGATGTATATGTTTATGGTCAATGGAAAAATGAAACTGATTCACCTATTTGTTTTTTTTATGTCATCTAATCTAAAATTAATGTATATCTGTGCTTAACATTTAAACTAATCGAGTTTCGAGTTTTTTGTCAACACCTTTTCTGTACATCATCGATTGATTTGAATAAAAATAAGATAACGTACATTTACTCGACGACATGAACCGCAGCTCAATGATATTCTGTCAAGGTCATTCGATTTCTCATATTTGTATCAAGACAATGATCCCTTAAGAATTACTTATCGTTAGGAATGTGTTTATAAATTAATGATTGCTTAAGAAGCACTCCATAAAAACTAATATCATGCATACATAATAGGAAGATGCAAAGCATCTGGAAACTCAATCCTATTACTTGCACTGTGTTTTCTATGAAAAATAAATGTTATTTTTCCAAAATTTCATCGATAGATCAAGTGAGATGATCTCCTTAGGACTAAATATTGATTTGTTTAAAAAGTACACGTCTTAATTCTACAAGTTGGAAAATTCACAGTGTATACAAAAAAAATTAATGAAAGGTATGTAGACATCTATCTGTGTTTTTTCCTATTTCTTGATTGACGAGTCAGAAATAAATGTTAGAAATTTTTTGTTTTCAGTCCTAGATAGTCCTCACATTACACTAGGTTTTCTGTAATAAACAACAATTTTAAGTATCATCTCGAATTACGAAAAGTTTTCTTATATAAATGTTTGTTTTTTTCTTCAATAATGTGCAGAGCGAGACTTTTCTTTTCTTTGAATTACCTCATTTTCACCGAACTTTATTTTCGGCGACGACCTTTTTGTTGAATTTCAATATCGCTGAATCAATTCCTAACTGAAAACGAGTCTGCATCAAATATGATCGACTTTATATTTAGCATTTTATTATAATCAATTAGTTCATTCTGCAATTGGTTGATAATCATTTCGGTTGGTAACTAACTTAGGATGTCGATCTGATTCCTCTTTCCCATTCATACACACTCCACCCTATAATACCAAAAGAAATCTCTGACAATGAGGCAAAAAAGCATTCATTTTTCAATAATGTGTTCTTATTAACCTCGTGTGAAAACCTACTTGTTTCAAGTACCCAGTGAAAAATAATTGTTGAATAGAACAGCGGAGAATGTGATCCATAAAGTTGAAAGTCATTTTTTTAAGAAAAGAAAACATTCCAACAAAAGTGGAATGTGTTCTGAAATGAAACTGCCAACAATGCTTTTCACACCCTTGAAGAACGCTTTCTTTTCTACAGAGAGGGCTTCAACCTTTTCAGAACACATTCTTGATCGTTTTTATTCAGAATGATAAATCATGAATTCCAATTTCCTACGCAATTGTTCTTAACAATTTTCGTAAAAAGAATTGCAGAAAACAAATATTAAATTATCTGGAATCCTTTCTCCCTTATGTTTTTCTCTATTCTGCTTAGAATTCAATTCTTTCGTCTTACATAGCGTTCTTTCTTTTATTTTTTTTTTCATTCTCCACTTCCTTCCAGACTTAAGCTCAGGATTTTCTATGTGTAGGACTAACATATTATCCATTAGACTAATTTGATACTTTAAATATCAAGTGAAAATACTATTTATATTGAACAAAACAACAGGCTAGAAAAAATTGAGGATATTATTTTTTTACACAAGATTTTATTTTAAACGCTTGCTTCGATTTACATTCAGGCAGGTGTCTATGGATGAGATTTTAATTTAGTCTTAATGAAATAAAGAAAAACATAGTATTTATTTTTAAAAATCAAAACTATATATAAAACAATAGAAACATGACATTTTTTTTGACATAAGATTTAGTAAAAAGAGAGTTTTGTGATCATAGTCTGAAGTATTATTTACTTTGAGGTTTTCTCCGTGTTAGTAGATGAGGTCGAAAGAAAAAATTTTTAATTAGCAATCAGTAATAAAAAGAAACAATATACTTCAAGAAAACAGCATCTTTCGCTGAATAAAAAAACAATATTTGTTATCTTAAAGAGTATTTCGATTCGTATCAATATATAGTTCTTACTGGTTTAGCTAAATAAGAGAGAATAAGTGCATCTCGCTAAATTGTGTACAGTCATCGGAACTTCGCTGTGATGTTACTAATATGCAATAGGCTGTAAACGCTAAATTGTTCGTGAAATTTTGTTTTTGACCTAAGTAATATCGAATGACACTATTGGAATCAGAATTAAAACCGGCTTCACCAGAATATAGTAAAGTCCAACTGAAACCAACACTAAGAGCCGAATCTGTCGTATTGGAACCTTCCAATGTGATGGTAAATGGATCTCGATTTAGTGCATCGCCACCAATTGTAAATTGAATGGCACGTACAATAGTTGGACCTAACACAGGGATGGTAAAAACACCGGTCCCAACTCCTGCCGTTGACGAACTCTGTCCAACAACGGTATTACCATAATTCAGATGAGTAGTATTGAGAAAATCAATGCACATTGTAGGGCCTTGACCTGATGGATATTGACCCCTATTACTGCAGACTGTAGAATTAAGACTTGAGCCACCAGCAGTAGTATTGTAAATGGCAACTATTTTATCACTAGCATTTGTGATTAGTTGATAGTTGTAAACTGGAGCAGTTCTATATATTTCATATTAACAAAGTAAATGACATGAGAAAAACACATGTGCAGGAAAATTAACTGAATTTATCGCAATACATATTCTATACACTAGGGCGAATTTAATTTTATACGTAATTCAGTAGAATTTATGTTTGCAGATGCTTTGAACAAGCAGCATTTTTAAATTGATAGAAACTTTAGATGTGTAATTTCTTAGCTACTCTTAATATGATTGTAGGATCCAATGACTCAAAAAAATCGAGTTGGGAGTCTTATTTTGGGTGTTACATACCATATCTGAAACAGTCATTACGAAAGACTAAAGATCTTTATTTTTGTAAAAATTAGAACTGCAAGAATCCAATCCTACTCTACTTCAGTCAACACTCAAGAAAATCTTACGCAGTCGTTGTTGAGATTGTTCTAGCTATATCAGTGGTTGTCGTGCCTTCTGGTATACTCATTAGTTTTATGGTTCATAGAGAAGGAATAGTATCAGAACAGCAAAGTATCCTTCGTGCTTTTTTCAAATTGTAATCGCAAGAAACAAGATTTAGATGTCATGAAGATTGCGCGGAAACTCACTTATGAAAAAGTTATACTAGTTAAAATTTTCCATATAATGCACACAAATGGAGTAAATATTTGACTCAAAATATTTCTATTGAACTTACACTGAATCCGACAGTTTTCTCAGTCAACACGAGAAATATTCATAAACCAAGTTCTCAACATATTGATTGATTTTTTAATAATTATCCTTGTCCAGTAAATGATTTATGTTGAAATTCAAAGGTGTTCTCGAATTGGCATGTATGTTTTGTAAATTTCTTTCGGTTCTGTACTGATTAGCTTCATGTCCGTACTCAATATGCTTCAGACTTCAAGTATGTCTCTTTTATTCATACCTGTACTCGTTGTTATTGTTTGTTTTATAAATACAGACACAATGTCATACACACCTATTGCTATGGCGACAAGCACCATGGCAATAATGATGGGAAAAGTAAGAATCAATGCTGAATAAGATTTCTTTTTCACTTTGCCAATGTCTTTCTTCACCGTTCTGAAAAACCGCATGACTTCGTGCAATCAGAAAACAAGAGCTTAGAAAAAATTTCGCACACTTCATCAATCTATACATAGAGGAAAACGTATAGGATGTGGGTGCGGATGCTGATTCGTTTGGGTTCATCTTTAATGCTGTCGTAGACGAAAAGCGGCGGTCCATAGAAGGTATTGATGTTCGACATGAGCTAACATGTGAAGCGAAATGATGATTCTTATGCTTTGTCTTCCTATACTGAGTTTTAGCCTATGTAGGAAAAAAAATTTAGTTTTCTGATTCGTTCATCAAGAGATAAACCTAATTGATACTTCGATAACATAATCAAGATTACGAGTACATTAGATTGTCCTTGAAATAAGGTGCTTCTTGAAACATGGACCACTTGAATAGATCGAGACACGTCTCTCATATCTGTAAGGATTCTAAGTACTGTTGTGCACAGGAACAGATTGGATGAAATGTAAGTCTTTTTCTCTTACAAGAGATTTTTCTTTGACGATTTTCTATGTAAGTATTTCTGATCTTATATACATCAGACTGTAGAAACCTTATCAACATCGGAATAGAGAATATGTTAATCACTTTTCAATCACTCTCTCAACATATGAAGTATCTTCAAAGCATACGTGTTCTGTTGTATTTGTTAATTAAATCAAACTTCATACTGAACATCACAAAAATGAATATACAACACTCCTATTGAAAGCAACACACACAATAAATTTTTATTCAATTTTTTTCTCATCGGGTCATTTCGACACATTCGTCAGTTAAGAATAGAAAGTGAATTTCAAGTCATCAATGGATTCTAATTACTTTGTTGAATTTTTTTTTTATACACATAGAATACGAAATATGAAAACAGAATGAGTGAACATGAAAAATAATAAATAAAAAAAAGCAATAAGATGGTTTAATGCAAGATTGACGTGGTAGAAGGTGGTGTACTAAACGACAAGGAATGACGAGGAGATGCATCTACTACTACAATTCGGACAAGTTTAACACTACCACCTGAGACAGCTGGACTCACAGTTTTCGAGACAAAATATTTACTGATTTTTGTGGTCAGTTGAAAGTGTTTCAAAAGAGTCAAAAGCTATGAGTAAGAATCCATGTTTTGTACTCCTTTGAAATATGATTTTTCAAAGAACGGAAGCGCTTAAGAGGAAGAATTGGGTTATCGTCAATGTTTCAATAAAAGTGTATATATCAGTGCAGAATTCGACGAATGATCATTTGATGCAAAATTCAATCTATCTGGAAAATACTTTGATGAATACGTTTAACCGTAGAAAATTTTTGCGGTAAAAAGTTAGTCAAAGCATTTTTTGCATCTGACTATCAATAGTTTTCTTTGAGAGAGCATAGTATGCCGAACAAATCTATATATGAAGCAGCTAAAAGTAGTCGATATAAACTAAACATATGGTGAATAAATAGTGTTTCTATCGATATTTTGAGCTAGGCCATGAAGGTTCAGGCTTCACAATCGGTTCCAAAATGGCTCAATAATGTATAAAATAGAACTCAAGATTTTTAATCATATAATGTAAGAAGAAACATAATGATGCAGCATACAATACAAATGAAATGTAACGTTTTATTTATTTAAACGAAAAAACATATTACAGGATATTTTCATCTTGCGCAGATTTCAATATACGGTCATCATCAGCTAGAGCTTATCAAAAGAAATAAATATAATAAGTGACACACATATAACATAGGTAACAAATATAACACAACCTTAATCTTAATAATCAAATGAATTACAACATTAGTATCAAATATATAACCTAAATAACAAATAATTTCCCTTTAATAAATAAAATTTTACATTTCATTTGTATATTGCATCAGTAGGTTTCTTCTGGCATTATATGATTAAAAATCTCAAGTTTTTTTTCTATATTTTGATTAGATGAAATATTTTTTCGTAATTAATGAAAGTAGAACTTTTCTAGAATTCGATTTTTAAAATCATGATTGTCCGTGTTGGACCAATAGGAAATGATCTAGAACTTGACTTAGGTACTGATGAGACATATTTTTATCTCTACTGGTAAATTTCTATCTCTACACAAAGTTGATTCGAAGAGATCGCGATTGAGGACGTATGAAGATTCAACTGTTAAGGCGGATCATTTTGAGAAAGAGAAGAAAGAACGATCATTTGCACTGGCAATTGCATTGAAGAAAATGGAACAATTTTCACGGTAGAAGAGAGTGCTTTCCCCTCAATATTACCACATTTTATACACATCCTCACCCTCGAAAGTTGCACTTTATTTCTTACGTTGAAGCACCGAAAATAAGAAGAACTTCGTGGAGAACTCAGTGTGTTTCTTATTTTTGACAACACTAAAGCACATTGATCAGATGACTCACATTTCATCTAAATCTAGATCATTTGAATACTATTAAGATAAAAGCGTAATAAAAATCAAGTAGCAAAATAATGAAAATTAGTCTCGATCATTAGATACATCAGCAATTAATAATTTAGAAGTAATTAGTTTCTCTTTCAAACACGTAACACTACCTTGAAGCTTTGCAATAGTTAACGTAGTTTCTTATTTCCACAATTAAGTTTTGAAAATACTATGTTGGGCATTGCTGACTCCTTGAGAAATTCTTCATCGTCATTATCGATATACAGTTGTGCGAGATTAACTTCACTATACAAAATCCATTCTATAAATATCTGCGGCATCAAAATTTGGACATTTCTAATAGACTAACTTTCATATTTCTTTGACTGACAAGTGCACCTATGAGTAAAAAGTGTTCCATTGCCCAGGTTGAAAAAGCACGATCGTAAACGACCGTATACAAACAAAATACGACATATCACTAATCGATATTCTTGAATGTATTCTTTTCAGATTTTTGTTTTTCTTGAACGTCAGGCAATATTCTTGTATGGAAAAAAAATATCTTGAACTTTCTGGCAAGAATCATGTAGACCGAATCTTGCCTGATGAGGCAAGAAGTGTCTCGCCAGACAAGATTCTTGAATTCAGGATGATTCTTTTTTTCTTGCTTTTCTCATCTAATTCTTTTTTCTTGGTTCTCTTTCCTGACTTTTTTTTTCATGAATCTGAAATATTTATTAGAAAAAAAATTGTACATTATAAAATGGATTTACATCAAAATTGCGCAAAAAGAAAATGATTGAAGTATTTTATTTACATTAGAAATATATATCTATTATAATAATTCGCCTTCTTCATGTTATCACCTGGAACTGATGATAATCGACACATTCCTAAGTCATTGTTTCCTGAAAACTCTAAAATCATTCATAATTTGACTTATTAATTTGTACTCACGAATACATCTTTACTTTTAAATATTTTCACTTACCTGATGCTGGTGTACAACTCATACGTTATTTGAAAATAATACCTTTTTCATTTAAGTGAACACAATAACTATTACCTATCGTTGTTTAGAAATGAATAAATAGTGTACAGAGGTTGATATATATATATAGACACATGTGCACAAAGACATCATACGATGTGTCTTGAAGATCAAGCAAGAATCTTTTTTCCTTTCCTGTCAATAGAATCTTATCTGACCTTAAAGATTAAAAAGAAATTTGCCTGATCGATCAAGAAAAACAAGAATCTGAACAGAATAGATCCAAGAACGTCGACTAGTGATTACGATGATCGTATATTTGTCGTGTTCAACACTAAGTAAATTTCTTTGTATAAAAGAATTCTTTTAATATCGATATCTGTTACAACTGCACAATAGACAGTAAATATGCTTTGTTATAAGAAACAAATTTTTATGTACAATTCCTTTCGATGGCACAACGACCAGTACGTAGATGTTATTTTATACTAAATAATCTTTTTCTCTTTTTATTTTTAGATTTCTTATAACAATAAGCGGAATAGTAAGTTAAAAATTTATTTAGATAATTGCTTTATGTTTATGTTTAGATTTCTTATAACAATACATCAAATAGTAAGTTGGGATTCACTAAAATAACTTTTTTATTTTTATTTTTATATTACCACATTGAGAAGTCGAAGAAGAAATATCAATTTAAATTAATATTTTCTTTCCATCTTTAGATTTATTGTAAGGATAAACTAAACAGTAAGTATTAGCTTCGATAAATTAGGATGCCCAGTCTGTCCGGGGACCTAAAATATTAATCTTTGTATTATTTGGAGACTGAAGAGGAAGGGGAGGAGGAAGCAGAAAAAGTTTATGTGAAATAATATAAGAAACAATGTAATATACTACCGCGTACGATCGTTTACCACTGTCGTAATGCTCGTTGTGAGTTACTTGTACTCCAAGCTGAACAAATTTGTATTCAAAGATTGACCAAGTCATGTGACACAAAAATGCAGTACATTGAGAAGAATT